GATGACATTCTTTGCAATAAGACAGAAAACATTAGATACACAGATTCCTTTATCTTTTCTCATTTTTTTCACATTTAATGAAGAATGTAGGTCCTTTGTTCTCAGTCACGCCGAAGAGTCTGGTTAAAGGCATTTATGATCCCTTTGAAGAGGAACCAACAGACAGTCCTGTGCTTATGGGGGAHGGAAGCAACAGAACTTGTGGGGTTCGGAACAGGAATGTGGCAATTCTTATCTATTAACAATAAGGCGTCAGGACGTCTGGTGGGGKTTTTTGTAAGAGATGTTAATTCGAGCCACAAATGAAGTTCCACGCAAAAATCTTTAGAAAATAGTCTGAAGTCAAAGTGGGGTTTTTCTTCCTTCCTGAGCCGTTGTCAGAGGAACAAGGGAAATCTAATCAGAAATGATTATTTATTTGCAGGAAAATGTTACAATCTTCAGCTCTGCCACTTCCTGCTCTGTCACCTGTCCACTGTCTCCAAACCATATAACATGTGGACGCACTAGTGTTATAAACCTTTCCCTTGACCTTTACTGTCACCCCTGGAAATTGGGTCTAGATCCTCATGACCCAAAGAAGAGAAGCAGGTAAAGAAGAAAAAAATGTCTCTGCTTTTTAAACTTCATTTGTTTCTCTATCATTTAAAATAAGGATTTTTTTCTTTCTCAGATCTTTCTTTTATGTCTCCCATATGTGTTTAAAAAAAAACTTCCTAACCCTTGGTCAGGCTGGCTGCAAAATCCTGTTGGATCCTTCTATCACTCTATTTATAGGCTGATAGACTGAGTCCAACAGGACAAAATCCTTACTGTGCAAACAAATGGGAATCACCTCAGCGGACTGGACACACACACACACACACACACACACAGAGATACACAGGTGAATGGAAATTCATGCTGGCATTGTCATGGAAAATATTTGTCACAGTGTCCAGGCTTGGTGCCATATGTTTGGATGGGACGGGGGGAAGGGGAGAGAAAAGAAAGGGAGACCAACAGATCAGTGGATGCACAAAGACTGGGGCCAAAAAAAAARCATGTTGCAATCCGGTTGACCAAATGTTTGCTCTGTGCGTGTGAGCCAAGAACGTTTTCTCACCTCATGAAAATTCATAAGGATCTAATTTAGGAGGAAAAGCTAAACAAGTGTAACAAAGGAAAGAAGACATGACAATGAATGTTTTCCTAATGAGTACACAAACAATCATTAATTCAGGTCATCAGTTAGAATACCTTGGTCCCAGGTGGAAAATGAGGCAGTGGTCCTTTGCCTCCAGCCAGAATTTTCTTCTGGACTCCTGGATAGTTGCGAAGGCTGATATCCTCCATCGCCTCCGAAAMCAAGCAGAGAAAGTTTGTGTATTTTGAAGATTCTCTCCTTGAGTGTGCTCTTCTGGCTTTTCTAATTAGCCCAGTGAAGAGAGAGTTCTTGGCTGGTTTGCTGCTCTCTGACAGATGGCAGGATTAAGCAGGGTTTGGAGATGGCCACTTTAATCTGCGGAGCTAATCCCTCGCCTACCCCTACGATTGGTGGGGGCAATCCCTGCAGGAAGACTTAGGACAGGCCAGAATCATGTGGATAAGAGAAAAGTCTAGATCAGTCTTTGGACCAAAGATCATTCTGGAAGCAGGGCCATCCTTCCTGACCATGGGTGGTCTGAATAACATGACATACAGCAGAATGTAACAACTACTAATGATAAATCTAATTATTATTTTGAATTATTCAACTCTTAAAATGTCGATAAGCTGTAAAAACCCTTTAAAATACTTTATTTTTTAAAATTTAGTTAGCATAAGTGATCTAAATTTAACTCCATTATCTCTCTGCTTGTTTCAGTTAGGTTGCCTGAATCTGTGATCTTATCCTTTTGGTCACTACCCAAAGTTTGTGACCAAAGKTGAGGGTAGGAGCGTAGACTATCAGTAAACAGAGAGCTTTGCCTTACAGCTCAGCTCCCTCTTCACAACAGACCAGTAGAGTCCACGCTGCCCCGATCCGTCAGTCAATCTCAYGCTCTATTCTTCCCTCACTCGTGAACAAAACCCCAAGATACTTGAACTCCTGCACTTGAGGCAGAAATTCACCCCCAATCCAGAGAGAGCAATCTAACCTTTCCCAACTGGTTTCAGATTTGGAGGTAAGGTAAGAGAACTTTATTGTCATCGTACAGAGCACAATGAAAGAGCGCTCAACTGTGAACCGTTCCGGTGAGAGCTGAAGATCACAACACGATGACACCAACCTGGACCACATCATCTGCTAACAGCAGTGATGGAATCCTGAGGCCACCGAACAGGACTCCCTCCGCCCCCTGGCTGCACCGAGAAATTCTGTCCATGTAGGTTATGAACAGAATCTGTGACAACGGGCAGCCCTGGCGAAGTCCATCTCCTATCCTGGAGGGGTCCGACTTACTGCTGGCAATGCCAGTCAAACCTTCACTCCTTGTATAGGGACTGAATGTCCCGTAACAAGGAACACACAATCACATATTCGTGAAGCACCCCACACAGTGTACCTCAAGGAACAGTCGAATGCCTTCTCCAAATCCACAAAACACATGGAACTCCCATGACCCCTCGATGACCCTAGTGAGGGTAGAGCTGGTCCAGTGTTCCATGGCCAGGATAGAACCGTATTGTTCCTCCTGAATCTGAGGTTTAACCATCGATCGCACTCACTCTTCAGTACCCGAGTAGACCTTACCAGGGAGGCTAAGGAGAGTGATGTGCCTGTATTTGGAACATAAACTCTGGTCCCCGTTTTTGATGAGAACCACTACCTCGACCTGCCAATCCACTGGCACTGCCACAGATGTTCACATGAAGACGTGTCAACCAAGACAGCTCCACAACATCCAGAGCCTTCAGGAAACCAGGGCAGATCTCGTCCACCCCGGAGCCCTGCCGCTCTGCGTCTCCAGTCCCAATTATGGACAGACCAACCCTGAAATCCCCAGACTTGTCTTCCGTGCTGGTTTGAGAAGGTTCGAAAAGTTCCACCTCATGATAACATCACTGGTTGAGGTTTAATCTAAAAATATAATTTAGGAACATTACCATTAATTTTGATAAAAATCACACAAACTGGCTGCAGTACCAAACAAAATGCAGCATTTGTAAATGTTTGTTTTGAAAAATACACTTTAAATGTCTACAACTCAAGAGGGAACAACCCAAACATAAAACTCAGTTTTTTTAGGTTTTATTTGATTTTGATGATTTTTTTTTAGGATAAAACAAACTGAACTTGCGTGGTTTAGGTTGGTAATCAGGACACTAAATATATTTTGACAAAGTAACAAAAGCACAATCAGAAACAAAGAAACGTTCGTGTGTGGTGATGTGTGCCACTGTGAATAAAACAATAAAATCCAGCTTTTGTGTCTTTTTTGAGTGTCTTTTTTTTGTAAAAAAAAAAAAAAAACACAAAGGGTTGATTGAAATAAAAGCTGGCTAAGATTTAGTTTTTGTTTTAGGATGACAGCCAAAACCAGCATCCTCCCTGGAGGCCAACTTTTTACTTCAATCATGCAGTAAGTTAACAAAAAATATTAACTTTTTACTTCAAAACCTAGAAGGCTGCAGACATTATGAAAAAAATGACAAAAGCCAGCTAATAAAGGCCTTCAATTTCCAAACAGGCTATTCTCCTCCTCTTCCTCGTCTTTGTGGGTGATGTATGGCTGAGGATGACATAAGACTGCCCCCTGCTGGTCACTTCTCTATCAGCGAGTCCAGCTGCTCCTGCAGGGAAGCCAGCTGTGGAAACATGAAACATGAGGGTGTAATTGATGCCCAACAGCTCTGCAGTTTAATTGTAGAGTAACTATATGATATTTAACGTGTCATTTTATATAAATTTTTATGTTTTCTACTGACATTACACTTAACCCAGAACTGTGCGCAGTTAAGCTACAGAGGCGACAAATTACACACCACTTCATTTGAACATCCTCCTAGGGCAGATAAGCTCTGTTTCTGACAATAAAATGCTGGAAGATGTAGAAAACTCACTGATTTTATTTTTTTTAAACGTACCTGCTCCATCTCTCTCTCCTCCTGCTGAATGATCTCGTTCAACAAGGCTTGGAAGCGGTTCTGAAATGGATGAGAGACAAAACAAGATTTGTGCGAGTCGACACGCTGAGCCTCATTAAACTGCCGTGGCTTTAAGTGTGTGCCTGCCGAGGCTGCTCATGTCACCATCCTCCTTCCCTGACAGAAAGGCCATTTAGAACGCCAGTCTGAGACAGCTGACCTTTCTCCACGCGACTGTGATAGTAACGACTGGTGATCGGGCTTTGACGGTCCCAAAACACACGACGGAACGAGAGCTCTAAATGGCAACATAAAAAAATAAAAGAGGAAGAAGGCACCACGTCTGCTCGTGTCCCTCTCATCGTAAAGTCTTCGTTAAAGAGGCTGAAGAGTGAAATCTGCACTTTTTATTTTGAGGATGGTGGGGTTTATACAGCGAACAGCCAGAGGGGCAGATTTAATATTTAACATAATAAAACAYAGACCTAAAATGTGCACAATCAGCTGTTTTTTATTTTATTTTTATTTTTTTCAAGATTGCAGATGAGCTTTGGGTGAACATATGCAACAAGGATTTGCCTCCCAACTCATTTGCTTCACTTGTTAAATTTCTATCAAGGAGGTTTTGTAATACAGCTGTTGTGTTTTTCTGGCCACATGACCCTGTGATCTACTGTAGAAGCAGCAAACAGGGCAAGAGTCAGCTACTTTGCTAATACTGTATGTACAGTAATGATAAATCCAAACAATAAGAGCTGACTATGTAAAACTGTCAGAACTATTGATGATAAACGAAAGCCTTATTAATATATTCAACTACATATAAACTATCTAATGTATATAAAAATGACAGAAAGCTGAGTGTGTTATGGATGTACTAACAGAGGAGAAACAGGAAAAAGTGTTTCATTTCAGATTTTATCTTAATTTCCTCCATAAAGATGTGATCTGACCCGAATTGAAGCTTATGCAACAGCTTCAAAATAAAATTAGCTTATAAAACCGATGTAATCACTGTTATTCATTGAATTGGTTTGCAGATATTAGCTTCTGTAGCATATATTGCTATACAGAGTGTAGCACTTCACTGAATCATGCTACAATTTGCACACATTTAATTTACAATAAGCTTTTGCTTTTATATAATATATACAGTGTAAAAAAACACATTTGATTATTGTAAGTTTAAAGGACTAGGGGTTCCCAACCTATTTTCCTCAAATCCCCAGTTTAATTCCAAGCCAAGCTGATCCCCTGCTCCCTAATCCCTCACTACTCCCCACCTCTCCCAAAGATGTGTTCAAGCTTCATCTCTTTATCAAAATAATAAAAGAATAAAGTGAATAGTTGCCATCTTTAATTTGGGAAAAGAGGGAAAAGTAATAACTGAATTGTACATAGTTTAATCAAATGGACCTATTTTGGTGGTTTTTATATACAAACAATAAACTGATATTTTCACAACCTCTGAGCAGACAAGGTTGTGCTTTTATTCTGAAAGGGGTAAACTGGAAGTGTCACGTGTTACACAGACCTATAACTCTGGTTTGGACTAGTCACAGATGATCTCATTCACCTGTAAATTAAACCAATAGAAAACTAACAACAGTCCCACCAGTCTTCAACTGGAAGAAGTGACAGGCTGAGATGTATCAAACACAAGTGGACGAGGACTGAAGAGTCATGAACAGAAGGGGACGACAGAATCCTGGTGGAAGTGACCTTATCAATAAAAAAAGTTAAGAAGCACTTGGAGAGTGAATACCTCCACCAAGACCCTAGGTTATGCAAATAAGCTTGTGCGGCTGCTGTGCTGTGATTGGTGGAGCAAAGTTCTGCTGGATGCTGATCGGCAGTCATAGAATGACATCGTCATAGTTTCATTTCCAGTTTGTGCTAGAGCAAGCTGCAGCTCTGGCAGATGTTGGCAGATCACCACCAGAATTTAAATAATTGTTCATTGTGACAACCACAACAAGCCCTGAAAATTCAGGAAAATCCATCCATAACTTTCTGAGTAATCCTGTGCAAAGACAAACAAATAAACAAAACGAACCAACTCTACCAAAAACTTCACCTCTGACMAGGAGGTTAAGTTCTGTTTCTGCCAGCAGGGCGGAGCCTAACTGACCAACATCAATGGCAGAGAACTCCTTTATGACATCACAACTTATGACAACAATAAGCTTGTGCCGCTGATAACAGGTTAGAGGACAAGTGATGTCCACCACTGGTGACGTCGATGCCCATGTGGGCAATGACTGATAGGGATGTCCCGATCCAGATTTTTTGGCTCCCGATACAATCCGATTTTTTTAACAATTAGTCTTTCCGATACCGATCTGATAGCTTTATTTCTTTCCAAGTGACAAGGTTGGTAGTATTAAAGCGAGCCCTGCTGTTCCCACACAAGAAACATCTAGTTTGCAGATTTTGCAAGATGCAGTTTCAGCATCGTTTTCCACTGAAAAGTGTTCCCACACTGTGGACATGGATACTTGTATCTTGACTTCTTAACAGCAGTTGTAAAGCATGATGATGCTGAAAACTGTCGCCAAAACTGGATCGGCCCGATCACATGACTAAATCCAATTCTACCCAATTTTCAAAACATGGCCATATCTGCCACCGATACAGAGTATCTGATTGGGACATCCCTAATGACTGAGTTACCTGGAGGGGGGGGTGATTTGGAGGAACAGCCTCCCTGATCTGAAATGATGTTCTGTTACTGGACTTGTGTGCTGGGCGTGAGTTGTCCATAATGAACACCATGTTTGAACTTAGGTTGGTACACAGGTGTACTTGGTACCTTGCAAAGTCAGGCCAAAGGTTGATGATTTTGTAAACATGTCACCTGACCTGCGGCCCTGTGTCTGGGACGCTCAGGTGAAAAGTGGGGCAGACTTTGTAACACAGAATTAAGTTGGGTTTTGTTGGCTGTGAGCTGTTGCCCTGTTTGGTTGCCATTTTGGTTCATCCATACACACACATAGAATTGAACTATTTGTCTGGGAAATACGTAATACCCCCGCAGTTTAACGCTCAACTTTGTCTTATGCTGTTTGTGAGGAAAAGAGTGCACTTGTTACTTACTTTCAGAGCCTGGTTTTCCACTTTCATGATGAGCTGCTCTTGTTGTTTCTTCCGAGCACGGGTTTCCTGGAGCTTGGCCTTAACGTTGTTAATCTGCACCTGATACTCCATAACTGCAGAAAACAGCAAGAGGTTCGTGCATGAGAAGGTCATACACAACATCAAGAAGACATTTATGTGCCCACAATTTATGTGCTGCAAAGAGTGGGTTGATGAGKTTATAGAAGGACAATGATGCAGCTTCATTTTTGGAGCCGCAAAAATAAATAAATTAATTWAAAAAAAAACGTAGGGAAACAGCACATGCATCTTGCAGCTCTTGGGAACTACCGGTCCATTTAGGAGAAGATGCACAAGCAGCTTGAAACACAACGAGACAACTAAATCAGTCTGCTGCAGTCTTAACAAAGAGAGTCCCATTACACTGCATCACACTAACCTGTGGCTCCGCCAGCATCGAGATTTTTCAAACTAATTGTATCCATTCACTGCTCATTTCCACTGGTGCTCAATTTTCCAATGCGGTTGCTGTTTTATGCTAAATTAAACAGAAAAAGGAGCCCCTGCAGCATCATTTATTACAACTCTGCACAGCGGCGGGAAACACACTMAACCAATGTGGGACATATCGGTGGAAAGTCTCTGCTTTGGATCTGACCAGTAGAGCTGCTGACTGACTGACAGCTTCATGCATGCAGATAAGGARGCGCTGTGCCGTCGGACCGGACTGCTGTCTGAGCTGCACGCTGAGCCACAACACCTGTCAGACTGGTTAGTTAAGGAGGGGAGCTGAGAGCTGTCAGTGTGTGCCTCTCTGTGGGCGAGGGGCACACTGTGTGTTTACATGAAATAGAGGCTACTTATTTGACTGTGTGTGATGTCTGACCTAGAAAGCTCAGCTCCTATTAAAAGTTTGAGCACTTAAGCTTTAAGTTCATTTCTGACATMCGTTTCGACAAGTTCCTGAGGGTGGTCTGACTTAATTTAACGTCTGACTCTGTTCTAAAGCCCAACCTTGTAGCTGGGACCACTTGGTCTAAAAAATGAAAAACCCACTTGGCTGAGAGACTGAACATTTACCCTAAGGTGTGACTTGCAAGCACAGCAGGAATGATTGCATTATCGAATGCAGCAGTTACTTCATTCAGACAGGTATGGAGGTTATTTCAAGGTGAACAGATTCAAATTTAGGAGTCAGCTCTTTGCACCTAAATCTATTCTTTAACAGCAACCTGAGTGGTTTCTTAGAGTTAAAAAATAAGCAGAACAAACTCCTACACAATGATGACCTGCCATCAACAATGAAAGTTTTGACACTGAGCAGGATTTTGTTTTGCCATTACATACATATATACAAACCGTTAAAAATAAAAATAAATTAAAAATGTATATTTTATACCTATATGGATCAACATTGTACAGAGGGGCAACATTTTGAAAACAAAAAGTCTAAAGCTAAAAATGAAGCATTTTATAGTGAAAACACAAGAGAAATGCTGAGTGCTGAGTAAAACAGCTAAAGTGAGCAACACAATACTGGTTAAGCAAAACAGTGAAAAGCTGAAACAAGCAGAAAATTAGCTTAAAGCTAAAACAAAACTGTAGCTCAAAACTAAAACAACTAAAATGGTAGCTAAAAAAGTAAAACACAAGTCAAAAAGGAAAAACTACCAAAACATAAGCTAAAAGCTCAAATTATCAAAGCAGTGGTGAAAATTTTAATTAGCAATGCATTAGCTTATAGCTAAAACAAACAAAACAGCAGCTAAAAGCTACAACAAGCAAAATAGTAGCTACAGGATAAAATCAGCAAAACAGTGGATTATAGCTAAAATGAACAAAACAGAAGCTAAACGATACAACCAGCACAATAGTAGTGAAAAGCTAAAATCAGCAAAACAGCTACAAGCTGAAAACCGCTGCAGAAGTTCGTTCCTGCCCACAGCCATCAGCATCTACAATAACTCTTTAGTTAAATGAGTAACAACAACACCTAATTTCCCTCTTGGATTAATAAAGTATTTTTGAATTGAATTGAAAATCAGCAAACCAGCAGCTGTATAATTATATATTTAATTAATATTAATTATATATTATGTTATTACCATAACATTAACTCAAAGTAGAGATCAGCAAAACAGTAGCTGAAAGCTAAAATGAATAAAACGGTTGTAAAAACATTAATTTAGCAAAACAGTAACTTAAAGATAAAATTGGCAAAATGGTAGCTTATAGCTAAACAAAAAAAATTAGTAGCTAAGATCTAAAATCAGCGAAACAGTAGCTGAAATGTAAAACTAGGAAGTCAAACCACCCGTTGGTTGAACATTGTTATTTGAAAAGTAAAAACAAAAGCTGTTCATCTGCTTTGACTGCAAAACTGATGGGAAGAAACTATAAAGTGGAAAAAGACACATCCACACACACTAGGGCTGCAACTAATGATTATTTTAATAATCGATTAATCTGTTGATTATTTTTTCGATTAATCGGCCAAATCATTAAAACACTTAATTACATAAATATAAGTAGATATAAATCAATTTAATTCCTGTATAATTTAGGGATGCAAGTTATCAATTAATGTGAAGTGGTCTGAAGTTCTGCTCGCGCCTGTTTTTTCTTTTTCTTCATCCTGAACCTTTTTGCTGTTTATCAAATAACTTTGAGCCTCGATCAGAAAAAAAAAAAGACTGGAGGGTTTTATATCTCTGACCCGAGAAGAGGAAACAAATGGTGGACTGAGGTACTTTTTTTCCTCCCCGGGACGTGTTTCCTCCTCACGACACGGCTCACATCAAATCAGACCATCGTTAAAAAAATTAAATGTGGCATTTACTTTTTATCATAGCTTCGGTTCTACTTGGCCAAACAACACAATTTAAAAACTGTTTAAAGTTCGAAATCTCTTCTTTTGACTCAAGGTCTCAGAGAGGGCGGATCTTTACAGGTAGAGTTTTTTTTCTTCCCAAACTTTATTTAGTTCAGCCAGCGTTGACGACGCTCTGTGGGTGACGTAAACGGCTCGGCGACATGGCGAGGGACGCATAAAACGCGCAATACAATGAATCGTTAAAGAAATTCGTTGCAAACGCTTTTAATAATCGATTTTTATCGATTTGTTGTTGCAGCCCTAACACGCACCCACACACACACAGACCAAGGATCATGCATACAGTTATATGTAGTTAATTTATCTAAATATAATTATCTCTTTTGTGCAGTCTATTTGTAAAGTTTAACTTTTCATGTGGAATTAATCATGCAGTGGATGAAAAATGTACTTTTGATCACAGAAAACATCACAACTGTTAGGAAAATATCAAATGAATCAGTTTAATATTTAAAGAAAAAAGATAATTATGTGTTTGTAAATCCAAGTGTGACATCACAAAACTGACTTCTTTCGATTAATCACTACTCCTTAATGAACTTAACTGTAAGAAATGCTAAACTTTTACACAACTTCACCAGTCTTGACCAGAAACACACCTCCTCCGTATTCTCACCTATCTGGTTGTTTCTGTCACTTTCATGCTGAGCAGAATCCGACTCGTTGAGCTTGTCTTGGAGCTGTCGCACCAGATCGTCCTCCGTGTCCATGATGTTCAGGTCCTCGTCTTCATGCCGGTCCCCTTCGTCCTCCTCGTCCTCGCTTGAGCTGCTGATGTCGTTGAAGATCTCCCGCAGCTCATCGCGTGGGCCTGGGCCGTGCAGAACGCATTAATAACGAGGACACAAAGATGGAAACTTTATAGCGCTGCTGAGCTTGGATTAACTTCAAGAGACAACGATTTTACACATTAAACTTTTAGTCCAACTGAACAAAACAAACATCCAGAATGTTCCTCTCATAGGAAACTAAACATTTTATATAACTCACAAATCCAGGAACCAAATGTTGAACATGCCTCAACACGGAGGACATCAGTGGTTTTAGAAAGTTTTATTCTTCTCTGAATTCCTCTTTAGCTTTATTTTAGTTGTAGTTGTTTAAAAAGTCCTCACTTTTAAAGCTAAATAAGTACGATGATGACTTCTTTGAAAAAAATTAATGTTCACTTTTTCCAGGTTTAGATTAAGTTTTTACAGATTTGTTCACTAAACCCTTTTCTAATCCTATAAAGAAYGTATAAAAATAGAATAAAAACAAAATAACCTTAACTCAGAAGCATTGATATTCTTATGTTTAAATAGCAGTTTTATACATTTTTGAGTCACTACATTTTTATATCCTTCTCATATTTTCCTTTTCATATAAATAAATAAAACTTTTTTCACAAGAACATATATTGTAAATTCAGTGGTGGGCACAGTTCCCCTAAAGCACTAATAGGGGAACTAATTTCCTGATTAGTGCTTTAGGGCTTTTGCTAATTTCTTAATTCATTAGTGGATTAGCACTTGCTAAATTTATGGGTTAAATTTATAAGCACTAGTTGAGTTCTTTGAATATTATTGATCAATATAATTGTCAACAGCTGAGGGTGAAAGCTGTCAGACGTGTTGGCCACTTATCCACTAGATCAGTGGTTTTCAAACTTTTCTGCTTCCGACCCACAAAATAAAAGTTGCAGACACTCGTGACCCCAGATATTACTTGTTTACGTAGCAAACTTTGCTAATAACTCTGTTAAACATGGGAATAATAACTATAAACAAACCTAATTAAATTCAAAAAATTCAAACTCAAAAATAATTTATTGATCCCAGAGGGAAATTAGGTAATAACTAGTAGAAATATAGTAAATATTATCATAGTATCATTTCGCAGTATCATATACAGTATATATATATCATAGTAATAACTACGATACAAATTTTAATTCATTTATGATTATTTCAAATAAATTGCAATAATCACAATGAAAATATTCCACTGGCATTTTTTGCATTTAAATTAATTGAGTTCTGGTAATCCTCTGGGGACCCTCATTTGATGTTTTGTGTCCCACAAAGGTCCTGACCCCAACTTTGGGAACCACTACATGAGATGAAATATTAATATTCTGCACACAGAAAATATTGTCTCTCGTTGACTCTGGGTCAGCTGGGATTTTAGTGCTTTAGAGTTAGCTTTTGCTAAATTTTTTAATGTGTTAGTGCTTTAGAGTTAGGGGACCTAAATATTAAAGTTAGTGCTTTAGAGTTAGGGGACCTAAATATTAAAGTTAGTGCTTTAGAGTTAGGGGACCTAAATATTAAAGTTAGTGCTTTAGGGTTAGTGCAACTAACTTTTAGATTAGTGCTGCCCACCACTGTGTAAATTAAATAATGATATAAACTTTCCAAGAATATCTTGTTGTAATGTGCTTTGTTCTATAGGTACGGTTTCCTGTTATAGAACTGAGGATCTGGTTTTGCCAACAAAGCCCGTCCCAAATGTTCACTGATGAAATAAAGCTGGGTGGGGGGGGTCCTTCCAACATTTTTCAGTCTGGGATCCCCAAACTGATGAAGAGAAAGAGCAAGGACCCCCTACTATTTATATGAACATAGATATGATGTTTTAGAATAAATTTAGCTTAATTCTGCATCTAATTACTTGGTATTATTGATACCAAGATAAATCTTAGAAATCAAAAAATGTATAACAAAAAAAGTCTAAAAAAATTTCATGACCCCCCTGTAATACCGCCACAGAACCACTAGGGGCCACAACCCCATCCTTGAAGACCTCTGACATAAAGAGTAACTTGTTTCTACCTGATGAGTCGTGCCCCATCTTAAGTCCTGAAGTACCAGGTGAAGAGTCCAAATTGCCCAGAGAGCCGTGTTGATCTGCTTCTTTGGATTCATCCTCTGCGATAACTTCCCATCCTGTGCAGCATCGGTTAGGGACAACAACCTTCTGCAGGTTTCAAAATTCATCAACAGTCCTGCGACACGGACCTAACCCAAGACCTGAGGGACGATATTTAAAGGTCCGCTTGTTTTGTCGTGCACATGTCTGATGTATGCAAACAATAAAAACAGGAGCAGAGCCTATTTTCTCAGTGACCATCTGAGCAGCGATAACGAACCGTCCGTCTGGATTAACGCACAGGAAGCAGCCGTACAGAGCGGCCCTGCTGTGCTCTTATTCTGTCAGAGAAGTTCAGACTTCCATTACAACACTAATCGCTTCTTTTCCCACCACGTATCTCTCACTGAGGCGAGTCAGCGAGGAGCTGGGCAGGAGTCAGGACACCCGCCTGAGCCTTGGATGAATCATAATTACACTCTAATTAGTGCATTCGTGTTCCCTCCAAAACAACTACAAAAACTTGGTGTTAGAAATGACCAACATACAGCATGTAGTGGCACTTTTCCTCTTCCCTCATCACATAATTCATTTAGTTTTTCCTTCATCTCAATATTCCTACGTAAATTAAGCAGGCAGCCAGAGTTCTGTCAATTTTGGCATGGAGGCGCCGACGCATTTCCTTGGTAGAAACAAAAAAATTTGGSTCGCTAATTTTTTGGAAATAAAGGCAGGTTTTCTGTTGGCTGGTTTGCAGATAATGTAATATACAAGATCTATTTATAACTTCACAGTTAGAACCGGTTTTTACTTGCCTTTGCTGCAACATGTCAAAAAGGATGTTCACTCATTTACCCAATTCAGTAAACTGTTTAAAGTAAGTTGTCTTTGTTCTAAGGGTGAATTTACAAACATTTCTTTGAATATATCCTACAGGACTGGACCGTTCTGCTTTTAAGACTCCACGTGTTTTGATTTGCAGATGAGACCAAACGGCCTCGCTCSGTTAGTTTCGAGGTAAACGCATCAAATCTTTGCGCTGCAGGGTCTAAAAAAGGATACGAACGCTGACAGCCTCAGCATCTGTGCTCAGTAGCCTCTTCACTTCCTTTTCCACGTCAGGAGATTCGATGTACTGCAGGGACAAAGAAACGGATCGGGTTACTTCTCAGCCCCACACAAACACACACAAAGACACACAACACAAAGGTAGCAGCTGGATCCATGCCAGAAAGCACATTAGCGATTAAAAACAGAAGGGGACAAATCAATATTACTCAGCTCGGCACCTTCAGTGAAATCTATTCAAAACACAAAGTGTTGTACTCTCATCTGATTTTTACTTTGATCAAAGCAAGAGTGAAATTGCTTCTTTTTTCTTTTTTTTTTTTTTTTTTACTTTGATCAAAGCAAGAGTGAAATTGCTTCTTTTTTCTTTTTTTTTTTTTTTGCATGCCTTTGGGGAAAACCAAGATGGAATGCTTTATTTATATGTTAATCTTGGTTTTTCACTTTTTACTACAGCGCCTGTTTTATGAAATGTAAATGTCTTGTTGGAACACAGCTTTGAAAATAGATGGATCATCAAACAATATGCTAAAGAGACCCTGGCAGAATGATAGGGGTACGCTGGATGGAATGCTAAATAAATAAATAACARTGTCACAACCTTCTTTTTCGCAGTCTTCCGAAATCTCCGTTTGCGTGTGTTCTTCAGCGGGCAGGTGACTGCGGACCAAAAACACCAGAGTTGGCAAAAGGAAAGAAAACAGTTCAACAGCTGAGGAGGCAGAGTCTCCTTCCACATCTTGCTGACATGTAACTTTTCAGCTCAAACTGTTCAAAAMRTCCGGAGATTTATCAACTTACTGCCATGATTCCAAACAAATTTCTTGTCCTTGTCTTTATCTTTTTTCTTGTTCTTTGGGTCGGTGCCAGTTGGCTCYTCTAAAGGAGGGTAAAGATCTCCATCTAGTGTACAGACCAGCATCTAAACCAGGAGCACAACAAAAAGTGAATCAATGAATGAGAACTTTGTCTGATTTATGCTAAAATAATTAATGCAGCTACAGTATATTTTGTATATATATATA